TATCAGCAGCTGATTATTTGTTTGTCTTGCCTTTCCTCTGAGTGTCCAGTGTCGATCAGATCCCCTGGTCACTGATAGTTGTACCATTCTCCTCAGACCATAATGATCTGTACGTGCCTCCAAATTTGACACTTGCTACTACAGGGCCTTGACCACATCTAGCTCAACATGTATAAATTCACTACCCAATGATGCCTAACCAGCCAGTCTGTCTGCCTTTTATTTCCCAACCCCCAGGCATTTCCTGGAGAAAATGTAACGTTTCCACTAAGTTATTAATAACATGAAATAGTTACACAATATCACAAATGTTCATGTAAAATTCTTCTTCAGTGTTGCAAACCCTTGAGGTCCATTACTGTAGATATCTCCTACATCTCTGTGATTCTCTTTCCAGTTGGTGACAGGTCTATCGGTATATTATCTCTCCGGTATCTTCTTGTCTTACATGTGGTCTATTTCTACTGAACTCTTTTGTGCACACAGTTTTTGTCTCTGTTATTCTATATGCCTAAAGATTGTTTGTGCACAGTGGTTAACTCTTTATTTTTCTCTCTATATGCCAAACATTGCATTCATGATGCCAGCAATTACTGGTGATTTAAACAGGTTATGAGTTTCGTTACTACTTCTCGTCACCATTCTTTGCTGTTTTCATCTTTGACGTGTTCAACAATTTGCCATGAAAATCTTTTTTTAACAGTTTGTAATAAGGCGTCATCTTGTTTAGTTGAACTCACACAAAGTATTAATAATAATCCCCCGTGTGGGTTCCGGGGCCCCATTATGGGGAAAACAAGAATAGACTCACTGCCTCCCCAAAAGCATGTCGTAAGAGTCGACTAATTGGGGAGCTTCCTTTGAAGTCGGAGTGTATCTGCCGGAGAGGCAAGGAAGCAACAGTCTGTATTCAAGAGAATGAGATCTGTAAAACTGATGCACACGCAACACTCAGGTTCTGGAGCAGGACTGCAGTTCACTAGTGGATGAGCAACCAGAACTTTCCGCCAGAGTGTACAGCTGGTGAAGGCGAAGAAGAAGAAGAAGATTAATAATAATTTATTTATAGGAAATTTTACAGATAAAAAGAAAATAAGAGACCCTATGATAACTAGTTTACTTTTAAGTGGCAAATGAATAAACCTGTATACTATAAATAAGGGAAGCCTTGATTTGCATTGGCAAGCAAATACACCGGTCAATGAGATTCTGTTTTGAGGATTTTGTTCACTGACAGGTCTCACTCATTAATCTAGTCTTTAATTATGTACCAGCGTTGACTGGTCTAAAAATATTGAGCAGGCAATATATTCTCAATACTCCATGACAGGAGACACAATTCTTCACATTTTATAGTCGTCCCCATATGGGATGCAATTTTTTTTTATTTGAAGCCCCACCCTGGCTTTTGCAAGGGGCCCTGAATACAGCCGGGCCATAAATATGGCCTAGTGACTGAAAGGGGTTTCTGGGACCTCTCCACTGGTGATCCTCAACGGCATGGTGGCATTCTGTGTCATGGGGCGTTTATTGTTGTGTGTGATGTGCTGGTGGGGTAAATTTACTTACTTACTTACTTCACATTTTTTTTTACAATAATAAATTAGATAAGAGAGATTATGAGGCTTTACTGTCAACACGATAAAGGAGTCTGATGAGGTTATTTTATCAACATTCATTCACCCATTGTTCTTATGTGCCATTATATGTAACATGGGGTTCACAGTCTATTCCTTCATTTCATTCTTTTCTGTGCTATCACTTCAAAATCATGTATAAAATCCAGTCCAGCACCTTTGGCCTCTCTCGTACCATCATTTGAGTTGAGATGAGTTAATTGATTCAAGAACCAACATCACAGCACTCGGGGCTCCGTCCCCATCTTCAGCAGCTAGTGAAGAGTTCCAATACTAATGGTGCCAGAAGCATTCGGATTAAACATCCGTCCTGCCTTTACTCTGAGCCTCGAGCATCTGCCAGAACCTCTCGTCCCTCCCCCTGCATCAATCTCACCAGATTGTGGTGATCCATCTACTCCTCCCAACTGTACACGCTCTCCCGCAACGCACTAACCACGTCTGCTTTATCATGCATCTGTCTGTATTCCATCAAGTTGTGCAGAGCCAGCCAGTCTATCCACCTGTTCATTTTCCAACACACTGGCAACTACCGTTGAAAAAATCAAGACAATACAATATCTTAGATGTTCTTCTATCCCCAATCCATCTACTTTCCATTTCAGTGTCTGGCTGCTTGTTTTTTTTTCCTCAGGATGTATCTAATATGGCACCATCTTCCCAGTCTTATAACTGTTGGCAGTGGTTGCCTAGACACTTGCTTATTTCTTCAAACCTCTTGTAATCATCCCATTTTTTTGTTCATCATCTTCCTTAAGAATTTGTTTTCAAATACATTTAACTTTTCTTATCAACACAGAAACTAGGGGGAAAAAAAGAGAAAAAACCAGACTGGACCATTCCAATTCATGTTACGGGAACTGACATGCAAAAGAAGAGTTTTATCAATAAATACTTACTGAAAACAATTCACTGGCATCAACGGCGTCGTCATCATCATCACCATCCGCAAGATCATCACCATCAGCAACATCGTCACCATCGTACTCATCATCACTATCTTCTCTGCCGTAGTGTGACTGTGACTTCTTGACAGATCTATTTTCTTCTTCAGTGTCATCTTCATCATCATCATCTGCTTCCTTTGATGATGGCAAGCTGCCAGCAGGCCAAAAGAAAGATTTTTCAGGAGTGGAAACACCCTATGGAAAGGAACAAAATGTAAAGCTCTTTGCACTAGCTTGGTATAAGTACACATGTAATATTATTGTGTGATGATAAGAAGCAGGAAAAACATCATGACAACTGGAGAAGATGTGAGCGAGACAGAGGAAGATCAAGAAAAATGCACCTGTGACTACATTCAAACAAGATGACTAAACCATAAAATCTGCTCTGTAAATTTAAATTAATTCTCAGTCTAATACTCTCATTCTTCACTCGGTCTTGGATAGTTCAGCTGGCAGCTCTGCTCCAGCATCTCATCTCATCTCATCCCATATAGGTGTTAATGTTTATGTAGTCCAAGGTTGGTACTGGAAAGCACATAGTTTTTATGTTCTTCTAGTTGTTCACCCACTTCCAGACTTTGTTCTTGTTCCCGAACTTGAGCATATTTTACCTACAACTTCAAAAAGAAACCTGACCTCAGGAGCAAAATATACACAGTAAGCTTTGAAGAAACCATGAGTTACCTGCAGCTGACATTTAAGTTCATAGAGGTAACCCACCTGATGGTCTGACTTGAGAATATGAAACTGAACTCAAAGATGAAGACGTGTTTTGAGTGCACATTCATTTTACAGATCTAGCTATTTATTTGTATTGTTGAATGCAGACTGTTGGTTCCTTGTGTCGGAGGCAGGGGCACCGTGTCTGCAGGAAGTATCTCTAACTAGTCGACTTTTATTAAATGCTTGTTTTTCTCTACAACCCTGGAAACCCTCAGAGAAACTGATGTTATGAATACACTGCTCCAGAACTTGAGTTTTGTGTGCACATCCATTTTACAGACCTAACTTACTTATCTGTATGCAGACTGTTGGTTCCTTGCCTTTCAGGCAGACGCACTTTGAAGGAAATACCCCTAATTAGTCTACTTTTATGACATGTTTGTTGTGAGGAAAGGGGGGGGGGGGTGGGTCTATATTCCTTTTTCCAGTGCAACAGGACCCCAGAACCCCCACAGGAAACTTAGAAGGCATAAATGTATTGTTTTGTTTTGTTTGTTTCATGGTTGTCATACTTGTGTTTGGATATCATAAATAATGTCATTTCTGAACATTTTTGCAAGTAAACCAAATGTACATTTTCAGTGGTGATACTCATCCAGGTCTAGTTTCACAGAATATCAAGAGAAAGCATGAAGCTAAAAAAAGCAACAACAACAACAACAAAATTCAGAGTCAAGTAATATATAACAATTTATAAGTGCTTTCTTCAAACCCATAAACTGTTTTGAGTATTTTCTGGCAAAGTAAAATACTCAAAATTGTAAAACTGTAAAAGGTGGTCTAAAGGACGTTATGTTGAGGAGCTTGCTCTTCTATGATATACACCTGGCCAAATCAGAAGCAGCTGAAACCAAGGAGGTAACTTCAGAAATGAAAGAGCAAGAAGAACACAGTTAACAAAAGGACAGGGAATAAGCGGTCTGACTTGGAGGAAAGAAGCATCAAGCCCAGAATTCGTGCAAATACCACAACTTTAGCCACGAAAGTGGCGCAAATAAACAAGACCACAAATATAGCTGGACACTGTTGGCAGCTTCAGTTAGCTAGTAGCAGGTTGAACGTTGTTGAGTTTTTGATTTTTTTTCCTTAAAAAGAATTGGAATTGGAAGTGTTTTCTGATATTAAATTAAAGAAGCTTATCACATAATATGCATATACACTCAAATGTATTTTCTTCTTCTTCTTCAGCATTCCGAGCCCTTGAGGTTCATTGCTGCAGATATCACCCGCCTCCATTCATCTCTCTGGTTGGTCTTCTCTTTCCAGTTGGTGAAACCATGTATTTGCAGGTCTGTCAGGGCATTATCTCTCCATCGTCTTCTTGGTCTGCCTCGTGGTCTACGACCATTCACCTCCCTTGTGTATACAGTTTTTACTTCTCTGTCATCTGACATTCTTTCAATATGCCCTAACCATTTCAGTCTATTAGATCTCATGATGCCAGAGATCAGTGGTGATTTAAACAGATTATGAATTTCGTTGTTGCTTCTCACTCTCTATTTCCCGCTGTTTACATCTTTGATGGGTACAAAGACTGGTCATAAGACTCTGTTTTCGAAAACCTGTGATAAGGCTTCATCTCTTTTAGTTGTGCTCCAAGTTTCAAAGCCATATAAAATGACTGGTATAATCAAAGTTTTATATATTTATACATTCAAAGGTATATTAGACAAACAAAATGCAGCGATACCTCTTGTTGATCCAGCTGTATGCAGGCTTTTTGTGCTGTTCTCAAATCTCTCACTGTAGTTTTCTCAGTAAATCTCTCCTTCAGTCTATCCACGAATGTTTCTTTGCGTCTTTCCTCTGCCTTCTGGCGTTTCACTGCCATAACTGCTCTCATACTGCTCATTTCTGTGGCCTTTCTTTTTTTCTGTGTCTCTGCCGAGTCCAGATCGATTATTTTTTAGTTCTATTGAGACAGGTTCAACCCGCCCGGTACCTGAAATGAATGAAATTTATCACATATAACTGCTACATAAGATATCTGTGTTTTATTTTTAGTAATTTGTTTATTGTTAACAATGTAGGAGCTGGCTGGGTGGTTAGAATGCTGATGTCTCATGAGAGTAACCCTGGTTCATCTGAGCAAAGATTTGATGCTTCTTTATTAAAACCCTACCCCAGAAGATGTCATAGGACAGTCCAACGTTTTAAAGGGTGGTAAAACTGGGTTTCCCGGCTTTCTGATGCTTTTAACGACCCCAGAACATCTGGAACTGACCCTAACCCCAACCCACCTTTGTCCCATGAGAGAGAGAAGCCTAGGTTCCATGAATGCATGCAACCCAGATCCCACGACTGCATGCAGCCTACCATCCCCTGAAATAATAAACTGTCGCGTGACCTTTGGATTTCTCCTGTTTGGGGTAGGATATTAATAAAGCACAGATTTGGCATCATAGAATTCAGGACAAGATGTCAAAGAGTTTTCATACTGATGGTTCCTATTGTCATTTGGTTAGCTACTTGTCTTGCCTTCTCTCTGAGTCTCGAGCGTTCGCCCAGAGCCCACAACTGCCCCTAGTTAACTTTAACCTCGCTGTATCATTCTCTTCAGGTATAGTTTTCAATATCTGAATCTGGTTCAAATCCTCTGTAAGATGACTGAAGTCTTTCCTAACTGCAAAGTTCATGGCAACTGCACTTGCCATGTGGCCCTAAATCATCACTTCATTCATAGTTTTGGCATTCTCAGTCCTGGAGGGATCAATATTCAACACAGCTTCATTTAATTGTATTTATTAACTTGTTCATTAATGTGACTTATTTATATTCCTCTTCTTACTTAATTTGTTTCATATTATAGCCCTTCATATTCATACTCTTCCCACCCATCATAAGTACTTCTTAGTTTCATGTTGCCTGTCGCTTTGGTTTTTAGAAGCTGTGTTGTCTTGTCCATTGAGTTTTCCTGTCATAGTCTGTGGTGTAATTTATACACAGCTGATAAAGACTTTGATAGAAACGTTGGGTTGTGTTTGTGTGTTTTTCCATTCCCTTCACTGAGCTTTCTAGTCACATTTTATGTTAAGCACTTCTTGTATTTTAGCAGACCAATCAGCACTTGATGAGTGCTGTGGTCAACAACATACTTGTCACCTTGACCTTGTTGCCATGTTTTCGGCTGAGTTGACCAGGCAGATATGGACAAATTTTAAAATTTTAATGTGGATTAAAGCTTGCCAACATGGCAAATTTCTACCCACTGTTTAAATGTGGCCCTTCTTTATTAAAATACTAATGAAAGAGTCAATTGTACGACAACCTATAACATTATATTTAACCACAAATTAATTTTTTTTTTATCCGAGGAAATAATTGTGATGTGCAAGTTTACAGCATCTGGCTTTTTTACAAAAATGACCTTGACTCCCAGGTCGACCCAGTCTTGCGTGGGTACCGGGTGCAGTCCGGGAATTAAAGGTGGCCGGGGTGATGCTGACCACATCGCCCATCTTGTGCCGATTGGTCTACAAAATATAGGTCTAGCCCTATATGCCCTAAACGTCTAAAGGCGTGGAAAATGGACCTTTACTTTTTGTTTTTTGTTTTTACATTTACAGTATGGTTGCTATATTTGCACCTTTCGGCCAACACTTCTGACTTCTGCGGGTAACTGCGGGTAATAGTTGCCCGGGTTGGCTTTCCAAGTAACCACAAACTTCTTCTTCTAAATAAGGTGGCTGACGCATTGTGGTTAACAGCTAGACTGCAACAGCTGCACATTTTGGTCCAGCACATTAAATTTCAGCAAGTCCTTAATTAGTTGTATTTTTTTATGTGTTTGTTAAGGATGTGGGGATTGGGGGGGGGGGGGCAGTAGGTCTACACTCCCCTTCCCTACCTTTTCCTCCACCCTGAAGTCGGGCATTGGAACACAAACAGTGATAACCACAATGGATAGATCACTTACCATGTTTTCCAATTCCCATACCAGGCTTGTACCCCATCTTTTGTAACAATGCAAATCCTTTACTGTCACTGGATATGCTGGACTTCAAACCAGCTTCACGGTGAGTGGCTTCAAGCTTCTTCTTTGGAAGTACAGTATTTTTGTTGTTTGCTTGCTTTTGGGCTTTTTCAGCTTCATGCTTTCTCTTGATGTTCTGTGAAATGAGACCTGGTCGAGTGTCACCGCTGAAAATATACATTTAGTTCACTCGCAAAATGTTCAGCAATGACACTTACAATTTTATAAGATATGATACATCTGCAAGCTGTATAAATTTAACACTACTGCTTGATGCAAACTCTTGAACAATAAACAAAAAAAAATTAAAAGTCAAATTAGGGTTTTGCAATTAATAAAAGAATATGTTTCAGGAAAACAAAGACAATATTTTTTTTACACACGCACGCACGCATGCGAACACCCACCCACCCACACACGCACACACACACACACACAGAGAGAGAGAGAGAGAGAGAGAGAGAGAGAGAGAGAATTTATAGAGAAAACTGGAACAGAAAAGGATGAAGAACGAAGTAAAAATAAGGACTAGTGGCTTATTTTTAATGTATTAAAAAACATGGCACTCAAAAGAAACCATTCTAGAGGGTGTGCAAGAGATAGACAGTGTTACAGGCAAAAAATTTTACACTAAGAGCAAGCTAAACTGCAGTCAGAGTGTTCAAGACAGGTAGTTTTGGAATTGTAGCCAACCTACAGTGTGGAGATGGCACCTAATGACTGTTTCATCATATACTAGTTATTAACAGGTCAACTTCACTGCACCAGGTTCTATCAAATATAGTTTAGTCTCTCTCTGCAGAACTGATAACCACCTGTCGAGAGTGTCGCACAAAAGTATGAACACCATAGCTCCGGCACATCACATACCCAACATGTCTTGAGTAATGAAATAGGGCCCTTTACTTTCTCCCTCTGGCCTAATTGTTAGACCCGATAGTTCTGTCCTAGATGTAATTTCTACACTATTATGTGGGTGGTTAGCATCCTTTTGGATATTGTATGCAGGTGTGTTGGAAAATGAATGAGCAGACAAACTGGCTGTGAAGGGATAATAAGATTATCATGAAGAGAACGGTGTAAAGGGGACTCCACACTTAGAGGAAAAGCAAGATGGACAGACTGCTATTGATACCATGGAGCTGGAACGCTTCAATGGCTGCTGAAGATGGGGACAGGGCTCTTAGGGAATGTCCCAAGTGCTGTGATGTCGGTTCTTAAAACTCAACTCTACCATGTGGGCTGATGAAGCCATAAGAACAAGTCCAGGCAGCACAATGGCCTATATCTTGGAGCAATGGTTCACCATTAGATAAGACCTGCAGACCCCTCTTATTTTTTAAGGTCTGCCACAGATCCGTCTGACTGTCTACTTTAACCAGACCAGGACATCACACAAGCGATAAACACCTGATGACACAAAGTGTCACCATATGGATGAGGATCACTCGTGGAAAGGTCCCAGTAACCGCGTTCAGCCATTAGACCATATTTATGGGCTATATTGCGGCAAGAGCCAGAGTAGGGCTTCGAATAACGAAAAACTGCATCCCTCGAAGGGATGACAAGGTTATTTTTAATAACAGATCCCAGGCTTTTCATAAGTCATACCAAAGACCTTTTTATACTACAAATCACTCTATTTCTTGTGTTTATTATAAATGAAGTGTTAAATCCTCCCAAACTGTGACCAATGCACGGGTTAAATTTTCATTCGCCATTATGACTACAATGTTTGATTTAACTTCACACTGGTGGCCCAGATTATTGTGCATTTCTTTATTTATTGTGACAATCAGTACAAGTAAACTTTTGCTGGAGTTATTATTTGAATATTTTTTCCCTAATTACTTTCTTTAAAAAATTAATTTTTAAAAATAATTTTCAACTGTTATCTACCTTGAAACCACATATCTATATGTGTCAAAGACAATGCATTTGTCTCTGTCTTCCAGACTGTTAAATACATGGTGTTAGTATTACAGGGGATGTCTCAGGTGCACTTAGAGGCAATGACTAAATACAGTGCAGTGGTGGAGACAAAGGTGAAGTAGAAGACAGAATGTTAAATATAGGGTTTTAGTTAAACCACTATTTCCACTAGGTGTACATATAGGGTAGCGGTAGAGACCAGGATGAGATAGAGGATGGGAATACATTCCTTCACTATCCTGGGAGAAGCTGGGTAATTAAATCCAGGATTCTGTAAATATTAAAATCACAAAAAGTACTGGATTCTAAAGTTCAGGGTTGTTTGTAAAATGATATCTTGGACACCTTAAATTTATTCCGTTGACCACCAAAGTGGAAATACTGCCTTAGAGCACCACTAACTTTGTCTCATCCACAGACCAATCCAAGTTTAGTTATTGTCTGAAAGGCTGCCATATCTCTCCAGAGATATTAAGATCAGGTGCTAGTCCTGAACATACTACTGTTTTTTTTCTTTCTTTTGTCCTGAGTAGGGAAGAGTGCTCTGCAGCACAATTTCTATACTGTGTATGCCAAACATTATTATAAACCAATCAGCCCTCAGTTAGTTAACTGAATGATTATCCTCATCACACATAGGAAGTTAATCAACTGATTATCCTCATCTCACATAGGAAGTATATCAACTGATTATCCTCATCACACATAGGAAGTTAATCAACTGATTATCCTCATCACACATAGGAAGTTAATCAACTGATTATCCTCATCACACATAGGAAGTTAATCAACTGATTATCCTCATCTCACATAGGAAGTTAATCAACTGATTATCCTCATCTCACATAGGAAGTTAATCAACTGATTATCCTCATCACACATTGGAAGTTAATCAACTGATTATCCTCATCACACATTGGAAGTTAATCAACTGATTATCCTCATCTCACATAGGAAGTTAATCAACTGATTATCCTCATCACACATAGGAAGTTAATCAACTGATTATCCTCATCTCACATAGGAAGTTAATCAACTGATTATCCTCATCTCACATAGGAAGTTAATCAACTGATTTTCCTTATCACACATAGGAAGTTAATCAACTGATTATCCTCATCACATATAGGAAGTTAATCAACTGATTATCCTCATCTCACATAGGAAGTTAATCAACTGATTATCCTCATCTCACATAGGAAGTTAATCAACTGATTATCCTCATCTCACATAGGAAATTAATCAACTGATTATCCTCATCTCACAAAGGAAGTTAATCAACTGATTATCCTCATCACATATAGGAAGTTAATCAACTGATTATCCTCATCTCACATAGGAAGTTAATCAACTGATTATCCTCATCTCACATAGGAAGTTAACTGATTATCCTCATCTCACATAGGAAGTTAATCAACTGATTATCCTCATCTCACATAGGAAGTTAATCAACTGATTATCCTCATCACATATAGGAAGTTAATCAACTGATTATCCTCATCTCACATAGGAAGTTAATCAACTGATTATCCTCATAGCACATCGGAAAGTCCAAATGCTCTCAGATCCCATCTTCAGTATATCATAATGCCCATTATATATATATGACAACATCAGTTCTGCGTTTGTTTACTATTATTCTTTTGCTACCTGTATAGAGTTTATGTCTGGCAACATCTCTTTAACTGAAGTTCTTGAAGTCTTTTTTATGTTGCTGATATACCATTGCCTCCTCAATCATGTATTCATCCCACCTTCTTGATACCACTGAGAACAGCCTGTACTTACTGTGACCCTGCCAGCAAGCCAATCTGCTCTTTCATTCCCTGTTACTTCAGAGTACACTGCCACAAAAAATAAAATTGTCAGATGAGATTTCTTTAGAGACTCCAATCATTGTCTTCATGAGTACTCAGTGGTTGATGAGGTTAGTATCATGCTGCCTGCTTTACTTCATAAAACATTTCCTGATAAACAGTTGATGTGGTTCCAAATATGTCAGACAGACAAGTGTGATAGCGTGCACTCGAATAAATCTTTTTTTCTTTTCTGTTGTCCTACTACATATGACAAAAAGCATAACAGAGAGGATTTTGATGTAGTTTCCTGTCTTTTGCTAGTTGTGCAGCTTGTGTTAATATCATACAGTGTTTTTATCTATTTTACTTCTTCCATCAATCTCTTGGGGGGCATTTTGCTGTTCTCATGTAGTATGCTATAACCGCTGGCTAATTTTGCTCTCCAATCTGACCAGATGACAAACCATTCGATTCTTTGATGTTCTGTGAAATCTTTTACGGGTACCATGCTCACCACTGTTCTTAGTTCTTTGTTGCTGACTGTCTCTCTTTTTTTTTTTAACTGCCACATTTCGTATACAACTTATCTCACATGTTGTAAATTACCATTAACATTTTCTAGGACTGTTCATGTTTGGCTCCAATATTACAACGTTAGCTCTGATATCACAAAGTTGGCACAAATTTAAAAAAAAAAAAAAAACTAATATCAAAATGTATCATATTTACCATTTCTGAAGAAATGCATCGGACATATAATCTTCTTCATCACTTGACATTGAAGCAGATGATCTGTTAGAGATGCAGGTGTAGACACTGTGAGACAAAATCATACTGTTAAACTCTTTCAGTCCCAACCAGTGCCTGATATGTCAATGATTTTACCCATTGATTTCCCTCCTCGGGGTAATGTGTTCTCTTAATTTGAACATTTGGTTAGAACATACTAAAAAAAAAAACCTGGCTTTCTCAGTAGTCCCCAGCCCTGTGTATATTACCACCTTGAAAGTAAGGCACTCCTATTTTTTCATCATGGTTACTTCTAAATAAACGAATTCTTTCATATACAAATCTTTTAGTCTCAGGAAATGCATTACATGCTAATTTACTACTACAGGGCAGCCCAATCGACGCGTGACAAGTGAAGATTTTTAATCTACCACTCAACTGTTATAAAACAAGGACTGCTCAATTTCAACTTCCTTTGGAGTTCATTGTGTCTGATATCAGGCGTACTCATTCAGAAACGCGGTTTAAAAGCTGAAAATATAGTATATGTGCAAGGTTTGCCGAGTTACTAAGTGTTTGTTTGAAAAGAATATGGCCGCCAAGCAGTATTCTACATACCTGCCAACATGATTTACAGTTTTAGAAGCCTCAATTTAAAGAAAGTACATGTTTTTTATTTATTTATCTGAAGTTAAGATAACGTTGCAAATTAGATGTGTTTCAGTCATTTATAGAGTCAAACTTTGATGAGGGATATGTCTAATGTGTACATCATGCGAAGGGTACAATGACAGCAAAGTCAGCTGGCACAAACAGAATAAATTTTAGTGAAAAAATGATTTTCTTCAGTGTCAGTTAGTTCTAGTGCTATTACCCTTATTATTTAGGAACACAGCTACAAAATTACAGGGAAATTGAGTGTTATATAAACTTTGTTTTGTGTGACGATACTTTTGTTTTGGGAGTGAGTTTTCTTTACCAAACAATAGTGCTCTGTTATGATGTTTCAAAAGATTCTCTGGAACAAAATCTAATGTATAGATTGAGTTTATATTTTAGTTATACATTACTAAGTGGTTCATATTCATTTTGGATATATTATAACCAGTTTTTGGCTATCTTTTGAATAACGGTCCCAAATTATTGAGGCCGAAAATATACCCTAACAGGGCCTCAGTCACATGTCAATTGTGCAATTCCGGTGACTTAAATTGCGTACTTCCGGCGACTACCGCCACCGCATCTATGTGCAGCGTGGATTGGGGCTAAACTAGATGGCTGGAACTCACGAGCAGCAGCTGCCTCATCTCCTGCAGCTTCCTTCATTTTATTTGCTTGTGAGTCCCACCCTTCTAGGTTAGCCTCAATCCACGGCACGCGTAGGGGCGTAGGAGATACTCTCGGCGGTGGCGGTTTAGTCCCTGGAAGTCCGCGATTCGGCGGTGGCGGTATAGTCCCCGGAAGTACGCAATTGACACTTGACTGGGGCTCTGTTAGGGTATATTTTCGGCCTCGATAGTTTGGGGCAATTATTCAGAAGATAGCCCAGTTTTCCTTGACTGCCATTGTGGTAAGTGGAATTTTTAAATTTCATTTTACTTATTTTTGTAAACATACCGTCTGTTTATTTAGTAATATTTAATTACTAATGCAGTTATTTGTTGTAGTTGTATTCTATAATTATTCCTCAACAATCCCTGGTCACTTTGATGTCTAATGTGTATGTTGCACGGCAATTGAATTATTATGGTCTGTTTTAATGTGTTACATTTGTGAAATAAAAAAATGCATTACCACCCCTTGGGCCTCTGACACTAAACCCTCTGGGACTCAACTGGGAGTTAACAATGTTTGAAATTTAAGTAAATTAAGGTTAGTTAATCCTAACGTGAAGCAATATTAAATGTTACAGTACATTATTATGTACAAGAGACTGAGTTTCTTATGATCACCGTAAACAAACAATAGACCCTTAGGGTCGATGTTGCAAGGAGTGCGCATAAAATAAACGAGTCTACATCAGTACAGTTAGGTTAGTTGCGCGTCCTTTCCAGGACGTTGCAGAACCAGCCCCAGCAGCAACTGGTTTTTCTAGGCAAATTTACGTCCAGCAGTTTGCCATTTCTTTCTGGACGGTTGGCTTTCTTGATTCCACTGTCAAAACCAACACAAGGCGCTTGGTCCGCAGCTGGGATCGAACCCGGCATTACGAAGGCGAAGCGTTCACATCGACTTAGTTCACTTAGCCACAGAGCCGACATGTAATTCAGACAGTACAGCGAAACATCATCATAATTGGAAAATGATTCTTGATGCAGATTAACCCACTATTATCTCTGTGTAAGAGTTCAAAGGACAACACATGTAAAGTTAAATAATTATTCACAGAATAAAATAATTTAAACTAAGTTTTACCTTTAAAAAATAACTAATCAAATACTTGATACAAAAAACACGTCTCTTTTTTTACACAAACCGATCAACCATTGTTTATTCAAGGGACAGCACTCTTATTAGTCCAATTATAGACCTTTTTGCCATATTCCGGAATCGGCTACTTGTTCATCACTGTGCATCTCTTCACTTCTGACTGACTTGACTTTCTAGCCCACCAGGACATCACACAAGCGATAAACACCCGAAGACACAATGTGCCACCATGTGGGCGAGGATCACCGTGGAGAGGTCCTAGAAACAGCGTTCAGCCTTTAGGCCATATTTATGGCCAGGCTGTATTGCGGCCCCTGGCAAAAGCCAGAGTACTGCTTCAAATAACGAAAAATTTCATCCTTAAAAGGAGGAGAAGTATTAGTCCTCTTCACTTCGTCCTCATTTGCTGTTTGGGGTGTCGAGGGAGTTATGAGGTTCTGCTTCTTGCTCTTCTGGTCGCCTTGACCACAGACACACGTGCTGTTGTAGTGTAAGTGTTTTTCTGATGTGTTTTCCACATTGATCTTCTTCGTGCTCAACGACCCTCTCCTCGTGTGGTGTATGGTATAATTAAGTCACAAGGCATTCTTTCTAAGTGACTTATAAGTAACTGCTTTGAAAAAAAAAAATCTATATATATGGTCGGCGTCTGTGGCTTAGGTGTTGCGAGCAAGCTTCATAATGCCGGGGTACTGGATTCGATCCCAGCTGCTGGCTTGCGATGGTTTCTGGCTTGAATTTCTACCCCACCAGGACATCACCAAAGGTTTCGATGACAGGGGTATCAGGATCACCGTGGAGACGAACGTCCATAAAGCAATGACAAACTACTGGACATAAATTTGCCTAGAAAAACCACAACAGCCACAAAATAAATGCTGGGCTTGGTTTCGCAATGTGTTGTAAAGGATACGCAACTAACTATATATATGACAAGGGTGCTCCCAGCAACAAAATATTGTATTAACAATGTGTACATTTGTAGATGACTATTTGAAATGATAATTAGGTAAACTCGTGTATCCATTACATTATATGATAACGTATACAATACGAATTTGATCAAACATGTTAGCGTTAGAATGAAATGTGCAGCTGGTTTTAGAGATCATGTTTATATCATCATCGATGGTAACATTTTGAGACAGTTTACTACCTAGCTACTCGTATCTATCCTCTTGGCACAACCCTCGGAGAATATGTCCATATTGTACTGCAGATCCGCTTTCGTAGCAGCATTTAGAGCGCTGTCGTCAGCGAACAGAAGATCCCTAACACTACGTGATTTAACTTTGGTTTTCGCTTTGAGCCGCACAAGATTGAACAGTTTTCCATCTATGCTGTAGCTGATATCAATACATGTATCCCCATCATGAAAAGCATCAGACAGCGCAGCTGAGAAAGTGATACTGAATAGATCAGGTGGGAGTACACACCCTTGTTTCATACCGTTTGCGACAGGAAAAGGAGATGGCTTCATCTTGCCATATTTGATGGAAAATCAAACGTTTTTCGCACCAGCTTTTCAAACCTCTGCAGGGATTGAATCAGAGCCAGCAGCCGAGTTGAGTCAGGAATTGACATCACATCACTCGGGGCATTCCCATGCATGCTCCGTCCTCATCTTCAGCAGCCAGCGCAGAGTTCCAATACTGATACTTTACCACAGTTGGTGAACCGCCTTCTGTTTCTTCTAGAGTAGGAACGTCATTAAGCGCTATGTTTACACTAGTGGCAGGCGGTTGATAACGTCATCTTTTTTTTTTTTTTTTTACAGACGAAGGCTGATTAAGAATATTATTAAAATGTTCAGCCCACCTTTGGAGAATTTGTTGTTTATCTGTGACCAGTGTTTTCCCATCTGTTGTGAGGAGAGGAAGGAGTCCCCACGATGCTAATGGGTTATAGATTGCCTTAAGTACATGGCATACATGTTTCCACGACTGGCTCCAGTCGACTGGCCATGCTGCTGACGTCACTGGGTCGGGCTAACGATGCGTTAACGCAGAGGTTCTCAAACAAGAAATAAACTATTTTCGACAGTGGCGAAGGAAGACAATTTAAATTTTTACTTGTAAGTATTTACATGCCTTCTTTAATAATTTAACAATTTTTAGCCGAATGACTTCAACAGCACGACCCGTTAGCTGGAGCCGGTCGTGCATTTTTCAGGTATGAATAAAATGATGAAAAAGTAACTTTCGAGATGAATTGGTTTAAAGTGAGGAACAGTTGCGCAATGTCGTCAACCTAACTCTCTCGCCTTTTTCCATCTGGATCCAGTGGCAGGACAAGTGGAGACGACTTGAGATAAAATCTGGTGCAGTGGATGACCAAGGTGTTCTACGTACCTCACCGTGCTCTTTGCGCTCCACATCATGTGGCTGGTATTCGCCATCAGGTCTGTTTAACCAAGTATTGATTTTCCTCCGCACATTCATCTGAGTCCAGTCTTCGCATGTTTGGATAGGCAAATATTATGCGCATGCACAAGACACTAATAAATAAGATCATTGTCACGTAATAAATAAGTGCGCTACATACAAACACACACACACACAAAACACACACACCCACAAGAACACATTACCCACCTACACATACTAAAAAACCACACAAA